CACACTCTCTCTCCATTCTTTAAAGAACAACCTCTCTCCTTTGACCAACCAGCTGATTGGTTGGACTGCAAAAGTGTACTGGAATATACAACATACTTCCAATATAATGAACAGTGGAATACTGTGTGCAATAAGACAAACTACGGCAAATAATATTATGTATTACTTCCATTATAATGAACGGTTGAAAAATGAATGAGACAAATGATATTATGCACTACTATTTCAAACAGCTTAAACTATGAAACTGGCTTTAATGGTGTGGTGCTTACACTTGACTAAAGTGCAATGTATCTAAGAATATGCAATGATTTACTCAGTGCCAATGCAGATTTACAAAAAAAAAATAAAAAATCACTCCGGGAACAAATTCAAATTTTACAGAGAAGATTGTGGGGCTCTTGGGACGACCCTTTCTTCCCCTCCCACCCCTCATTCCTCTCCGGAGACCCACCACACCCTACCACTTCCATTACAACTGAAACCGCAACTCCACCATCGAAGGCCGCATGCCCGCCGCCTTTCTGCCATGAACATGACTACTTTTGGTCCTCTCAAGTTGCCTTCTAGAACACACTCATCATGGGAAACACCATGGGCATGGACTTCGAAGAAGAGATCCGCTACCACACCATGATGCCCTCACCCCTACCCTGGATCCAACAACAACACCTGCCTCAACATGGCAATGGATACCCGCGAACCCGACGGGTAAAAACCCTATTAGGGTAAGGGTTTGAAAAAGTTAAATACCCATAAATAGGAAAAAATGTACTCGTTGGGTAGCCGAGTACGGGAATGCAATACCCATACCCGCGTACCCACCTACCCACATATTCGTACATCTTACAGGTAGGTCCCCTATGTCATTCACTAAAAGGGGGAACCGCTAGCCTAACCCAGACGCGACCCGCACACAAAATCCCCTCCCCTCACCCACCCATCACGTCGTCACACAACACAAACCCCATCTCCCTCTCGCCTCGGCTGCAACCCTAGGTGGTAGGCGCCACCGACACTGCCTGGAGTAGTGGAGCGACATGACCAGGCCATCTCTCTCATCTCCTCATCTCCCTCCTCACCACACCATGTGTTGAAATGCTGAAATGTGGTATACATGTGCTAAAATGTTAAATATACATGCTGAAATGTTATGTTTGACATGGTGAAATGATGAAATTATACATGGCAAAATGAACTGAAAGGTGATCGAGATGGATATTTTTACCCATGGGTATTACCCGCATTGGTTGGGTACGGGTATGGGAACCATATGAAACTCGGGGTGCTAATATGGGTATGGGTTTGGGCAAAAAAATATTGGGACGGGTGCGAGTTTGGGTGAGCATTACTCGCACCTGAACCCTGTGGGTGCCATGTTGGGACCTGTCGACTCTACATCTCCTTCTCATTCAGTCACGTGTGGCTGATGAAACCATGGTGGTTGCGCTACTTCAGGCAGTCCTCGGTGGCTCCCAAATCCCGCTAGGGGCTATCTGAAACCGAATATCAATGCAGGTTTCGATGATGAGATGGTCACATGAACAGTCTGTGTTCTTATCTGCGACACCTTAGCTGCAGGAATCAACATGATTGGATGGAGCTCGAATGTGTTAAGTTCAAAGGCCAGGGCTCTAAGATATGGACATACTCTAGCATTGTCCATTGAGTGTAACAGACTATTGGTTAACCCCATCAACATGAGAAAACTTTATGGAAGCATTGACAACTCTTTTTTTGGAATAGAGGCAAAAGATTTGCCTCATCCATTAATTAAGAGAAGGAACATAGTTTGTTACATGTCACCCATTACAATAAGGTTGTTACTCTCCTGGAAAAAATTGCCCCTAATTTTTTGGCACCTACAACCACCCAAAGCATCACTTCATTCTTGATGTGGGATAGCAAGATCGCCGGAGGGGTGTCCTTGTCGCTGAAGACGCGAGCATTCCTCTAGTTCCATATCATCTAGGAGGTGAGCATGGTGGGGGTACCATGGCTTTTCTATTGGGGTTGTTGGGATCATATATGTTAACCAACCACTCCTTGATGGATGGATTCAAATGCCAAGTGGACTTGTCAATATGCACGAGTTGGATCCACTCCTTGATCATATCCCAAAGCTCGAGCTTGAACCGACACTTGAGAAAAATGTTGACGCTTTCAACCTCGCCCTTGCAAAGCGGACAAAAACCACAAATTGGGCACCCACGCTTGGCCATCTATCTGTAGTTACGATTTTGGATGAACAACCAAGCAAAAAAAATCACCTCATGGGGCGCCAAAGCCTTCCATGTAGTGGTGCTCACGACAGATCTAGTGGCACTAAGGAATTGCTCTTTGTACCCGGAGGTTACCGAGTAATGCCCGCTAGTCGTGTGCTTCCAAGTGATGTTGTACTCAAAGTGAGCATTTAGATGGACGTCGCACAAGATAGCCCAAAGAGAAACGATCTAACAAATGTGGTTGAAGAACCAATGCTTCGGGAGTTTAATTTTGGGTAGCCAAAGCCCCATCCTCCATGAACCCACACACCTTCAACTTCTTCCTAGTGGAGGCCTGATGTCTCACAAATGTAAGAGGTCAATTGTAGATCTTTTCGATAAGTAAAGGTATCGATCCCACGAGGAGCCGAAGGAAATGGTAAGTGCAAAAATAAAAAGGATTTACTATAAGTGCTAAAAAGTGGGATGATGTTCCGATTTGTGAGGGTGATGTGACAATAAAACATGAATTACTCCTATAAAGGATGCTGGAGTACTCGCCTCCTAGGGACCTTCGAGGGTGAGCGTTTCCTCTGCACCATCCTTTTAGCGGTGGCGTGTCGCGAGGGCTTCTCGGGAGCTCTCTGCGTCATACGATTGGAACGGATGGTGCGGACCGCGGCAACCAGCCTTGGGGGTCCATGATGGGTGGACCGTGGGCGCGCACGGGGCCACTACATGTGTTGAATTCGGCGCACCCACGTGTGCCCTCCCACCCTCCCTAAAATCTAAAATTTACCTAGAGGGAGACCCTAAACAATTATTTCACCGCCGCAAGCCTCTGTTCTTCCGTGATCCCATTTGGAGGCCTCCGCCGCTAATCTTCCAGAGGGGGAATCAATCACGGAGGGCTTCTACATCAACCTTGCTGCCATCCTAATGATGAGTGAGTAGTCCCCATAGGACCTACAGGTGCATAGAAGTAGCTAGATCTCTCTCTCTCTCTCTCTCTCTCTCTCTCTCTCTCTGATCTTCAATACAATGTTCTCTTCGGAGATCGATTCGATGTAATCCTTTTGCGGTGTGTTTGTTGGGATCCGATGAATTGTGAGTTTATGACATGATTATTCATTGAAAGTAACTGAGTCTTTTTTGAACTTTATTATGTGTGATTTTTATAGCTTTGTATTTATCTCTGATTTATCCATCTAGTTTGGCCAATTAGATTAATTTATCTTTAATGGGAGAGATGCTTTGTGGTAGGTTCAATCTTGTGGTGTCCTCACTCTATGACAAGAGAAGTAGCGAGGCACATATTTGTATTGTTGCTCCTAAGGGTAAAATGACGGAGCTCAAACATATTAATTGGTATTACTTTGTCTACATTATGTCATTGTGCTCCAAGCATTACTTCGTTTGTTATGAACTTAATACCTTAAGATGCATGATGGATAGCGATCGAGGGGTGGAGTCGGGGGTGGTGCCAGTAGGGGGCGAGCGGGGGCAGACCCCCCCTATGGTTAGGCCACCCCAACAAACTCTAGCAGGGGTTAGCGGTATTAATAGCACTATGTTGCCACTTGTACTAGGCTATTAGCACAAATAAAACACTTGAGTGGGCCAAGAACTGAATCGGCTGGTTAACAAAGCCGAAGAAGACAATCCACACCATGCTAGGGCCAGCCAGAAAAAGAGCCAGCCGACGGCTATGATCGAACGATTCACACGCATGGATTTCTTACTTGTGTTTTGTTTCGTTAAGCTGTCGCCGTCGGCCTAGGGCATAGCCGCATAGGCATGAGTTGCCGCTAGAAGCTTTCGCCGCTTCCTAAAGCGATTGACACCATGGCCTTGTGGTTGTGGCGTCGCACCTATTGTCCATGGCCCCTCGGTCATTATAATACCTCTCAGCCTGGCTCACATGAATCACATCTGAGATCAAAGGTATGCATCTCATCACATATCACTATCAATGCTACACTTACACTGCCCCGCAAAAGAAGTGGTAGATTTATACAAATTACCTGCTATTATCTTTCTTAGATCGATTATAGTTTATATCTAGTATTTAGCATTTTTGTTAGAAACTTTCAACATAGGATGTATATATATATAATAACATAGAATCGCATAAGACAAATTTGAAATACGGGTTAGATATAGATCAAATTATTTTTTATGATTCAAGAATTAAGAGAATAATTAAGTACCACTCTGCCATTGAAAATGTAATCTAGTTCAGGAGATACTCTGATTGATCGGTATACAAACTGCCGACTGAAATATCATGGCACAAGTAAAAATCTTAAAT